CGGCTGGGAAAAAGGAGGCCCAATACAAAATTCTGGTTATACTTTTACACCGAGTTAATTATACATTACAAGTGGCTGATAAATATATGATCAATGTTAAGACTGAGCCCGAAAAGTCGTCCGACTGAGGTGTATGTAACGTAATGGGCAAGAGAAAGGACATTAATATAATAATTTATAATTAATAAATAATTCGATTACAAAACATTCGTTAAAAAATAAATCATTTAAAAAAATATATTAAAAAAAACATACTTGTCTGACAGTTTACGCGGTTTGTACATATATTTAGCATCAGACACGTAGGTCTGTATATTGACGCTGCAAACTTGTCATAATTTTAGTGGGTCTAAGTTAAAATAGAAAGCTGACGTGTAATACTTATTATAGCCTGTAGTATGTTTTTCGCTCTTGACCGAGCACTGAATATTATCAAAGAGCACCACGACCGGTTTAGTGGTGATCAGTACTCACCTCTGCGATATATCATAACATCACTTAATAGTTTACGTCTTCATTTTCGGGAATGCCCAGGATAATCACATATTAAACTAGAACCAACAATTTGTGCTCAAGTACACAAACGAGCCGAGTGAAGTACTGCGACCTAGAAGCTTCGGGTAGTGATATGGTATTGTTATTTTCAATAGTCATATGAATTCGGAATTATTTTGTCACATACCAACTACTTATTAAAATAATCTGGCACGTCAATAGAATTTCTTCGAGTGCTGTCTGTCATTGAAGAGTTTTTATTTTTTAATGGCTGCAGTAATTACTAAAACGAAACGATGGTGATTAATTATTAACATGTCGTGTGCGATCACGTCAGTGGGGATGTGCAATAATTAAGTCACATTTTCGTACACAAGGGTAGGTAACGATTAAACAAAATAACGGGGTTGTTATGCGGCATATAAATACAGAACACTACTATGATTATTATAACACTCGTCAGTCGACAAAAGTTGTAATATTGTGTCGTACGATAAATTCCGTACGTGATGTTAAACACGCTGTGGATTTCAGAAATAATATTCAAAAGTTATCATGTTTTATTTTAAGCATCTATAATATTATATCGTTAAATCGTTCCATAAAAACAGCAAATAATATCGTTTATCTAGGTAATATTATGTCTTTTATACGTTGTATGCGAATTACAAGTCACAGAGTTGTTATGTCTTTATAGTTTATTGTGTCTAGAACAATATTTTGTTGTTTTTTACCTACCTATACTATTATTGAAGTTCCTATCCGTGTCAGATGTTGGAGATCATATTGAATATTGCTTCTTTTTCTAGCGATGAACAAAATAGTTCAATTGATGTTATACTAAACCAGACCCGGAGATTTTTTAGCCAAGATATCCTTCGTCTACCAGCACTTCTCTTGTCTTCTATTTTTCCTCGAAGTATAAGTTTCAGCAATCTATGGTTATTTCTCATTGTGTGACCCACGTATTCTAATTTCCGTATTTTTATAATTTTTATAATTTTTATAATTTTCAAAATTCTTTTTCCTTTTACAATATTTATAGTAGGCACATGTTGGATACTCGATCTGTTCATGAGATATTTAAGATACGGCGGTACAGCCACATTTCCAGTGCCTCAATTTTCTTACTCAATGTTTTAGTTAATGTCAATGTTTCCGCACCATATAAAAAAATAGAAAAGATATAACATCTTAATATTCTAGTCTTAGTGCCCAGTAAAAAATCATGACATTTAAGTATCTTAAACATTTTTACTTATACAATAATATTATTATATTGTTATATTGTTATATATTTTATATTGTACTTTCCAGTATCTTTAACTTCGTAGGCTAAAAGTTTTTTGTATAAGGTACATAGGTACTGTTTAAAAAAAGAGGGAAGTATAATTTTTATAATATATAATAGTAATAGTAAAAGTGTCATGATGGTGCATTGCATAATGTATCGATTTCTTCACACAGTTGATAATGCACTTTATTATAATATAATTATTACTAAACAATATGAACATGGAAGTTAAAATTTTAAAAATATGTATTTTAGAATAAAGATATGCATTAGTAAAATAGTAGAACAATTTGATTGAAAAAGTTAAACACATTTAGTTTATTACGAGGACACTACACAACTATATAAACGGGAAACGAGTGACATAATATAATCAGTACGAGAAGGCTTGACATAGAATGTTTTTGAGGGTCGTGATGACTTAAAAAACTAAAAATGTTATTCGTTTCAAAATGTCAGAACAGTTGTATGATCCATTTAAAACTTTAAATAGAAAAGTCACATCGCATCTTATTCTTCTAATAACTCTGGTGTAACCCAGTTAAAGTGGGTTTGGTTTCATTCTTTTATCTCAGTGATCGCCGGTCGGCTGGCCGTTCAGAGACTATTAATTTTAAACGACAAAACAGGCGTATTAATTGAAAAATGTTTGCTAAGTAAGTAATAAATTCTGTAGAACTCGAGCGATATATAAAATTATAAGGTAATACTTTCATTGTTAAAAGAAGGTAAAATATTTACTTTATTATGAAATCTGAACCAGTTGATTTAACATATTAATTATTATACCTACTACTTATAAATTATAATACATATACTCAAAATAGGTATTCAATATGAAATAAAATATTTTTATTTAATACAATTTTTTTATTTAATTGTTTCTCGTAACTTTTGTATGCTGCTTACGGTGAAAACAAAATTGTACTCAACAATACGACAAATGTTATGCTTTTAAATGTAAATTTTCAAAATTGTATATGATGACAATTTATGAGGACACAGGATACGGTGACACATATTTGAAGTGAGTCGTAGTTTCAATCGACTGTTTTTCGTTTACTTCCTTATGTTCATATTGTAGTGTAGAGTACTACATAACTCGCGTTGAATTCAGTCTTGACTTCTTATGTGGATTTTTTTTAATTGATCTTTTATCTAAATTTCCAAAAAATGGTGTATTTCAGTGTCGTTGTGTATTATTGCATGTTACAAAACTATTGAGCTTTTATGTATCTCATGTGTTTTTTTTAAGTATGTTATAACCCGCATTGGAACTATATAAAATGATATTTAAGCAATATGACGACGGACGATGGTTTGTTGCCTTTAGTACTATTACTTCTATAATACCGCGCGCACGCATTTAATACACGCGTGACGCGTTGAAATGCGTTCGTGTATATGATGTAGGTATAATATGATATAAATATGATTTTCAAAACGAAAAGATTAAATTTGAATTAAAATAATTTATCCAACAACATTTCTCTTACTTGCGATTGACGTTACCTAATAATAATATGGTTCTACCTAACCTGAAATTTTAATCGCTGACAGCCATGGCACTTGTGCGTGTGTATACTGACAGTCGAATAATTAGATCGACTCTTATGTGTGTGTGTGTGTGTGTGTGTGTGTGTGTGTGTGTGTGTGTGTGTGTGTGTGTGTGTGGGTTTACCGATAGTGTCTTATGGGATCCATCGTATAGAAACAGAGCAGCGTTGTGAGATCATTTTTCGTTGTGAGATCCATACCCCCGGATCTAATAACGTTTTCACCAGATTTAGCATTTTCAAGGCAAATAAACCAATTCCCATACAGAAATAGATCGGATCTCATAAGACCATAATTATGAAATTTATGTGTGTGTATATAAACACGGTATGTGTTTGTTATGCTCCATCACCGCAGACAGTACAAAATCGTTTTGAACGATATGCATCCTGTGAGATCTATACGACGGCAACGTCGCATTTGTGTGTTAAAGGTCTGTAACACCGATTTTAAGAGATCCATCTTATATTTTAATTATTTTGGAAAATATCATAATTTTATGATATTTTAATAATAATCAAAGTATTTCTTGATAGGTACCTATGTACTTCAAAGTGAAACGCATTTTATGAGATCCATAATATTGACTGAATAATGTATAAACACTAGTGTTTACCTATATACCTAGGCTATATTATTATTGAGGACCTATTAATTATTAATATATTATTAACTTAAGTAGTTCCGTATTTTTGTTAGTATCACCTACTATTTATCACCTATATTAAATCATGCCGATAGTAAGATACATCTATACAATAATCTATTAGAGTATAACTTATATAATAATATAAGAGATCTCAAGTAGTATACTTCATTGCACTATCCCTTTGACAGATTTAATAATATTAGGTACCTACTATATTAATATTATATTATTATGTTCAAAACACAAATAGTTATTATTTTTATGGCAGTTAAAATCAATGATACTAATTGCATACGTTATAAGATCTAATACATTTCAAAATATAGAAATACCATATCGTAGTGAGATCCATTATTGTTGTAATGATGTATCGTTAAGAGATCAGATGTTAATGTGTATTATGAAATAATATAGATGTTTATCGTTTATGATATAATAGCTCATGATATTTATATGTATAAATATATTTATTCGGCCATACGGGTTTTCCCCGATTACAAGACACATAGATAAGCGCGAAGAGAAGCCAATGCCCAATAGTGTTGTTAAAACGATTTTCAAGTTTTCAACACAGACACACAGTACACGGTGTCCTGTTGGTATGTGCCTTATAAGAATAGTTGCGTCTACTAAACCTCATGTCCGCGAAAACGCATTTTAAAGGTTTTTATGTGTTAAATTTGTTTCATCTTTCGTTTCGTTATTTCAATAAAATTGAATGAAATATGAATAGAACGCGTTCTAAAAAGATGATTGAAATGGTTAAAAAACCATATGAGTGTAGTAATACCAAAAGAGTTTTACGATCAGGTAAAATTCTGGGTAAAAGCAATACTGCAGGTGAGTACTAATGCACATTATTTATACAAATATTAATTAACACGTTTTTTTTAATTGTAATAATAAACTAAAGATACATTTTTATAATAAATCTTAGAAATAAAAACACAAGAAACACTGAAAACAAAAAATGTTAAACAGAAAGCAAAAGCAAAATATAAAACTCGGTGCCCAGTTATTAAAATAAATACTTTGTTGGACGAAGAAGGTATTACCTATATTATATTATTATATATTATTATTATTTTGTGATACTATTTTTTTAATTAGCGTTGAATATAGAGGATAATATTGAAAATACTGATTTCTTATGTCTGAGCAATGTAAAAAACAATAATGTTGTGAATAGTTTGAATTCATGTGATAAAGGTAGTTATTTAATTTAATAGTTGATACTATTTGTGTTGTTTAAATAAGTTTATAATAGTTTTTTATTATTTAGTTTTGAATAATGTCGAGAATAATTTCAAAAACGTTGGAAATACTGATTTAGTATGTTTGGATAATGATAATGAGAATGCCAATGATGTTGTGAATGGTCTGAACTCAAGTAATAAAGGTGGCTGTTTAGTTTAATAGTTAACGCAATTGTTTTTCCACGGATAAGTTAACAATATATTTATTTTTTTTATTTAGTCTTGACAACTTTAAGTAATATTGGAAGTGGAATTACTAGTCTATCATATTCGACTAGTTGTAATGTCGAGGAAGTTGTAGACAATTTGAACTTTTATCATGATGGTACCTACAACTTACATAATTAATTTTTTTTTAATGTTAATAAATATTTTATGATACTATTTTTTATTTAGCGTTGAATATAGAGGATAATATTGAAAATACTGATTTCTTATGTCTGAGCAATGTAAAAAACAATAATGTTGTGAATAGTTTGAATTCATGTGATAAAGGTAGTTATTTAATTTAGTAGTTGATACTATTTATGTTGTTTAAATAAGTTTATAATAATTTTTTATTATTTAGTTTTGAATAATGTCGAGAATAATTTCAAAAACGTTGGAAATACTGATTTAGTATGTTTGGGTAATGATAATGAGAATGCCAATGATGTTGTGAATGGTCTGAACTCAAGTAATAAAGGTGGCTGTTTAGTTTAATAGTTAACGCAATTGTTTTTCCACGGATAAGTTAACAATATATTTATTTTTTTTATTTAGTCTTGACAACTTTAAGTAATATTGGAAGTGGAATTACTAGTCTATCATATTCGACTAGTTGTAATGTCGAGGAAGTTGTAGACAATTTGAACTTTTATCATGATGGTACCTACAACTTACATAATTAATTTTTTTTTAATGTTAATAAATATTTTATGATACTATTTTTTATTTAGCGTTGAATATAGAGGATAATATTGAAAATACTGATTTCTTATGTCTGAGCAATGTAAAAAACAATAATGTTGTGAATAGTTTGAATTCATGTGATAAAGGTAGTTATTTAATTTAGTAGTTGATACTATTTATGTTGTTTAAATAAGTTTATAATAATTTTTTATTATTTAGTTTTGAATAATGTCGAGAATAATTTCAAAAACGTTGGAAATACTGATTTAGTATGTTTGGGTAATGATAATGAGAATGCCAATGATGTTGTGAATGGTCTGAACTCAAGTAATAAAGGTGGCTGTTTAGTTTAATAGTTAACGCAATTGTTTTTCCACGGATAAGTTAACAATATATTTATTTTTTTTATTTAGTGTTGAAAACTTTAAGTAATATTGGAAGTGGAACTACTAATCTATCATATTCGACTAGTTGTAATGTCAAGGAAATTGAGGACAATTCTAACTTATATAATGAAGGTAGTTAATTTTATTAATTTTTAAATTATTCAAATTAGTTAAATATGAGTCTTATTTGTATTAATAATACTAAATTTTTTAGATTTTGTTTATGATTCGAGATCAGATTATGAGTATGATTCAGGATCAGATTATCTACCGCCATCCCAAATTCACTGTGAGAGTATGCATTCTGATGATGAAGTATCTTTGAAATCAGATATTATTGTAAATAATTGTATTGAGAGTGACAACCAATCAGATAGCCCTTCATCATCTGGCATGAGTAACAAGCAACTAAGTGTACTCAATCCAAAAAATACCAAAACTGGATACAATTTTAGTGCATCAGTTCAGTGTTCAAGAAAAAAGCCAATCAACAATAAAAGACTATGGGACAAAACTGATTGTTGTATATTTTGTGAAGAAAATGTTACTAATTTTACAAGACACATTATAAGAAAGCATACGTCAGAAATGGAAGTAGCTCGATACCTTTCTTTTCCACAAGGCAGCAAAGACAGAAAAATTCTTGCAGATCAACTTCGAAAACGAGGAAATTTCTTGTGTAATATTGGTAGCGAACAAGTCATTAAACCTGTAAGACGGCCAAATGAATTTTCATCAATTTCAAATGCAGCAGATTACTTGCCTTGTAAACACTGTTATGGCTTATATAAAAAGAAGTATTTATATAGACATGAAAAAATTTGTAAAAGCGTTAAAACTGAACTAAAAGGCAGAAATAAAGCTCAGGCAGATGCTCAAAATCTTTTGCTAACATTTACTGAAACTGACGAACAATTAGTTAAAGAAGTGTTTCCCAGAATGGCAGTTGATAGTATTTCTCTGGTAGCAAAAACCGATTTGTTAATTAAATCGTTTGGATCAAGATATTTAAAATGCCATCGTGAAAAACATTTAGTCAATATTGTATCTCAAAAAATGAGAACTCTTGCAAGACTCCTAATTCAGATGAGAAATGAAGATTCTAATATTAAATCATTGCTGGACTGCTTAACTCCAAAATATTTTGATAAAATAATAAAATGTACTAAAATTGTTGCGGGATATGATGCTGATAATGATAAATTCGGTTCACCATCAATTGTTCTAAAAATGGGAAGTGCCTTAAAACAGTGCTGTGATATTGCTGAATTTCACATTTTAAAAGAAAGTAAGCATTTGGATCTAGATGACACACAAAAGAAAATAAAAAAATCACTTCTAAACATGAGATCAATTATTGAAAAACAGTGGTCATATGAAATTTCTACTAACGCATGTAAAGAGATATTCCAAAAAAAATGGAATAAACCAGCGTATCTTCCACTAACGTCGGATATAAAAATATTTAGGGACTACATAATAAGTGTACAGAATAAATGTATAAAAGACTTAAAAGAAAATTCAAATAATATTAAAGCATACAGAGAACTTCAAGAAAGCATACTTAGTCAGCTAATTTTATTGAACCGTAGAAGATCCGGAGAAGTGCAAAGAATTTTTTTGCAAACATATTTATGCGCTCCTTCTGAAATCTCGCAAGAAGAAATCGATTTTTCACTTTCTGAAATGGAAAAACAGTTGACCAAACAATTTAAAAGGATTGTTATCAGGGGAAAACGTGGCCGAGGTGTGCCTATTTTATTTACTATTAACATGCAAAAAACGATCAAATTTTTACTAGCCATAAGAGAAACTTGTAATTTTATTGATAAAGAAAATCCTTTTTTATTCGCTTTACCAAATTCTATGAATTCTTTAAGAGGCTCAGATGCTATACGTAAATTAGGTAATGAATCGGGAGCCAAAAACCCAGAAAATCTAACCTCTACAAAGTTAAGAAAACAAATTGCAACTGTAGCACAGTTATTAAATTTAACTGAAAATGATATTGAACAGTTAGCTAACTTCCTTGGTCATACTAAAGATGTGCATAAAAATTTTTACAGCTTGTCAGAAAGTACTTTCCAGGTTGCTAAGATCAGCAAAATGCTGTTAATGATGGAAAAAGGTCAAGGACATGAATTTAGGGGAAAAAATTTAGATGAAATAGATATAAATGTTGAAGCATTAGTTTCAGATGAAGAATTAAATGAAGATGTTTCTTCTGAGGATGAATTACAAAATCAGAATATAGATCTCGAGATTCCAACTAATAAAACAGATAAAATATTTACGAAAAAAAAGAAAAACTGCCGAAAAATATCTACTTCAAAAAATAAAGAAAGTTTGCCTCCAACTAAAAACTCTAAAACTACTTCACCAAAATATGTAAGAGTTGCTTGGACTGAAGATGAACGTAAAATAACAACTGATTATTTTAAAAAACACATTTTATTGAAAAAAGCACCTCAAAAACAAGAATGTGAAAATCTAAAGAAAAAGCACCATTTGTTAAAAGATAAGCCTTGGAAAAAAATCAAAACATTTGTACACAACATTATAAAAAAAAACACTTTGTAAAAGTTTGTAATTTAAAAAAAATATGTATATTCTCTTAACACTTTTTTCCTTTTTTATATTTTATATTTCCTATATTATAACCAGTACTGTTAAAAAATAACATGTAGCTTTTGTATGTTCTTACATAAATATCTATTGTTTATAGTGTAAAACTATAATTTGTTGAAATAAATTGTTTAATACCAGAAGTTAAAATAAAATAAGAGATTTTATTAAAAGAAATGTTTTGAATGTTTTAATATCTAGCAACTTGTATTGATACATTTTGGATGATTCATTGGTGTAAGTAATTGAAATCTCAATTAAATACGATATTATGACAGTGGTAACAGATTATACCTCAATGATGTAGAGTAATTAGCATTACAAATAATTCAAATAAATCAAAGATATATCTTTATAGTATATATACTTTTTGTATATTAGGTAATTAATTAAATTATTGAGTAATAAATAATAGATTCCAGGGATGTTTTTGTGTAAATTGTCTATGTAATAATGAATAAATACCCTACCTACAATAGCACCTAGTATGAAACTACAAACATATAACTACAATAAGAAGACTATATTATCTTAACACACAACAAGAAGTATTAGAACTTAATGTTAATAATGTATTAGATCAGTTGCTAAAGGAAAATATTGTAAGTGGGAGAGGGAGATCCCACAACGTTAGTGAAACGCACAATCATCATAATATCACTATAATATTAGGTTAAACGGATTATGGATAATAGGACTATATTATCGGTAAGTGATATATTTCTATATTAGTGACTAGTGTTACCCAGTAATATTATTCAAACAATATGGCAACGTTGCAATGATCTCACATAGTATGATGATTTGAAATTGAACCATTGTCTGGATCTCACATGATGCTTATTAAACCAAAAAATACACAAATGGATCTAATAAAATGCTAAATTTTTCTTACACACACTGGATCTGATAAAGATATATTGAAACAAAAAGTTTTTCTGAGTGTAAAATATTGATAATTATAGCATTGTGTACATTTTTAAATTTTTAAAAATACATATTTTTCAAAGCTCCTAGAACTGAATATTTTGACTGGATCCCACAACGTATCTCTTTTCTTACGGATCTGACAAGACACGTTTCGTATGTATGTGTGTGTGTGTGTGTGTGTGTGTGTGTGTGTGTGTGTGTGTGTATCTGTGTGTGTGTGTGTGTGTTAAAACTCTAAACAGTGCACTCGCCCATACTTGTATATTTAATATACTCTCGCACGTCTCCACGACGGCCACGGTGTATACCCGCGTAATGTGCGCACTTCGAATAAACGCCCTCGGGTTATTTCATATATTATACCCGCACACACACACACACACACACATATAATACATTATATATACTTACCTAACCCATANGTGTGTGTGTGTGTGTGTGTGTGTGTGTGTGTGTGTGTGTGTGTGTGTGTGTGTGTGTAATATAATATCTACTCAGATTTGGAAAATTAATTTTATAGTTTAGGCTCATTCGAATGACGCGTGTCTAAAATAATAACACTATACCTCATCGAACTGGAACGACCACAAACGACTGACTATAATATATATGTATATCAAGATATGTAAATAATATTATAACATAGCCGATAATCGTGTAACTACACATTTCTAATTATATTCCCTCGTAGTTTGAACTTTAAGCGTACTTACCTGTAATATACTACACATATTATATTATAGCATACTGTAAATATTATAATATTATACGTAATAAATGCGTAATGTAGGTATATAAGTAGTAATAAAATGAAAATTGAATTATCAAAATAATAAGATATTTAAATTTTTAAAAATATAATATATTATCAATATATCCATAGACTATATGTATAGTAATCATATTAAACGATTTAAATTTTTCTTTTTTAATTGATTTATTGAACTTTTAAGTTATTGGAATTTGAGTAATAGTTATTCTACCTTATTAGTTACTATCAAATCTCCTAGCATCAATGTAATTTGTTTTATGTGACTTGCTCATAGTTTAACATTGAATATTATCATATATTTATATCATACCGACATTAAAAATACCCCGGAAGGGTCTGTATATAGTCCGCGTGTGTACATGAAAACTTGGTGATTACAACTGATAAATGTCAGTTTGTTTTATGTATAGCATAACAGTAGAGGAAAATCGCTTTTTTATCTTATAAGTTATAACTATTGTGGTTCGGACCAGGTCGTAGCTGGTTTATAGCGTTTGGTAACTGGTGTATAATATACGTCAGAGGCACTTATAATCAGTAGCCTGGGGGATGTAACGGAATTATAGCACACAATTTGACAGTAGCCCGTGGTTACTGAATATTCATTATAATATCATATAACGCTAGCCCCTAGGTAAACCTTGAACACCCACGCAATTTCTTTAGCTGACTAATATCCGTGCCATATGGCTGTTTTTTGGTTTTTAAATTCAATGTCATGCCGTTGAGTTAATTTTGACTTTAAGTGATAGCTAATCGCAGCATCTATTTTTAATTTATTTTCCACAGTTTGGGGGACCCTCTCGATATGCTATCTGCGTTATAATTTTTACCACTGTAATATAACTATAGAAAGTGCAAACACGCGGTATATCGTATGGTGACTATTCAACTCCTCTGCTACACAAATATGTAAGTAGTTTTTTATCTCCAGACAATACAAAACGGTATCTTGATTAGAAGCAGGTAGATACTCCCTCCCTATAAGGACAATATATAGGATAATGTACATCACATATATTGTGCTCTGCACACTTCAAAATCAGTTATTTTGTAATAATATTAAGAAGCATTTATACGAATTCGGGTGTTACTCATTTGAGTTCTTTGATGTGATATTGCGATGACATAATTAAAACTATTTTATTAAAAATAAACACGTTATGATAAGTTTATAACCATCATAGAATATAACATGTCAAGCATATAGACTAATTTGAAATTAATATAAAAATCAAGAAAATTAATAAGAAATTAGAATTACATATGATAATAAATAACAATAATTCTAATAAATATTTTTATCATCTCATAAAATGATTTTTTTCTTGTAGAGAAATAGTCATTAGTTTTGAAGCCAATAAGTGCCATTTTTAATTTATTGAGTTTGCAACGCGTGGGTCGTGACCATTTTTACATTTCGTTATTTTAACCGTAACCATTATATACATTACGCACTGGTGTGCAACAATAAATCGAGCAAAAAATACATATATGCAGCAAAAATCTATATTCGCTTGGATTGAAAATAAATTCTCCGGAGTGATTTTACCAAGAAACCCATCTTACATCTAAGGGAAAAAATCCTGATTCCGGTGGAAATAGCACATCGCCTCGTCTTTCTAATATGACGTTCAATATTTTTTTATGCATATTATATACTAGACTGTAAAAAGTGAACAATTTTTTTTAAAACTTTCGAGTAGCTGTAATTTTCAATATATACAGCCATACAGGATATGCACATCGATATTGGGTGCATTATGCATATATGTATGTTGTACCCAGTATCTTTCCAATCAAGTACTTTTGAACGTTGTTCTTCTATACAGTAATGTACCTATTTTGCCTATACATTACGCCACATCACGAATCGCGAAAAGCGGAAAATGACCGGACACGATGGACGGGTCAGGTATTATCAGGTCTATAGTATATTATATTGATACCAAACATGTGTGTTTAATATAATTTATATTATGTAACCGTAATATTATTAATATTGTTTATTATACATGACGTGTACATAATACGCCTTTACATAATTATTATTATAATACAATGCACATGTTTTAATTGTTATTTGTGGCCGTGATGATACGCATTAGAAATAGTTAAATTGTAAAATATTATTTTTAAAGATTGAGTCCATGGTATGTGCACGATATCCAATCACTTGAGGGACTATTAATTTATTATTAAAACGCAATTTATTATTTGGGTCAAAGTATGTTCGAGTAGAGTACGATTGATGCACGAACGAAAGTTGATAAAAACTCATCCCATCAAACGGTCAAAAACCGGTGAATAACATCCCACATTCATTTGATCGATTATAAGAAGGTGGTTCTATCCATAGTACACTTATGCATATTTAAAATGGACCTACGTCACAATTGTTATTATTAATCACTGTGTCAATAGCAGTATTTGTACCTATTATGTTATCACGTCATGTGGGTCATGTTGTTGACTTTGTGTTATTGTTTAAGTAAAATATCGTTAAAGGATTATCGAATTTAAGTTGTAGTAAAAAAAAAAAACCAAACTTATCTATTAAAGATTAAACCACATACTATATTATTTATAACACCAGCTGTTTGTTTTTACTAAAATACTAGGTATATAGATAATTAAAATGATCGTTTTTCTTTTTTTTGTACACACCAACTAGCTGGTGTATTTAAAAAGTAATTTTGAAAAATGATTATAATGATTTATTGTATAACCATTAGTCGTCATTAAATCAGAATTTTATTTTAAATTTTCAAAATCTAATGACCACAGCTATTATTTTATGACTTTGGCACATACATAATGAAGAAATTAATTCATAACCAATACTACAATACTCAGTAACTTATAGATCATTGATAATTCATAATATTAATAAGAGCGGTACATTGATATCGAAGGAGAAATAATCTGAATAACTATACTAATTTATAGTGTATGTTATTTTAGTTTTTGTTATTTGGTGAAGACAAGTTAAGTCTTGCGACCTTACACATTGTGAAAATATGGTGTTATTAAGAATAATTGATTTTAATTATTTTTTTTTAAAAATATGTACAATAAGAATCGCGTAATATTATGTATCTTATTTAGCTGCTGACGTGATCGAAATTTGATAAATCGATTCTGTTTCATAAAAACATAGCTGTAAGGCGTTATACTACGATACTACTATGAATAAAATTCAGTGTTATTATTCCGGTCATCGCGAAAAAACTCATAAATTAACACACTTGTGCATAAGAGGAGAGAAAGT